GGTGCAAGCTGCAGTGCCAGGGTATGAGCTGTGCTGGCTGAGGAAGTGGACTTGGTCCCCGAGGAGCTGTGCCAGCTGTGGGCGTAGCAGGTTCCTGCAGAGGGGTGGAGAGGACATCCAAGCGTGGCAGCCTGCTGGGCTGGTGCATCTGTGTCTCCCGTGAGTCACAGCTCACTCACTTCCCAACCTGGTCAAACAAGACACTCCTGGCTGGCACATGCTGTCCTGCTGCCAGCTTTCCCTCCCTTCCTAGGTTTCAATAGGCTTTTTGGTACAAAAGAGACTTGGTTGTGCCCACCTGCCAGCTAACTTGATTTCTTTTGATTGCGCTGTAAAGAGAAGAGTTCGCTCTGCTTATCACGTTTGTACTTTGGTTATAGTGTCAGTCTTGGGCAGATTAATTGGTTGTAGCTTTAGCAGAGCTGTCAGGGTATTTAACCCATAGGAGAAAAATTACCTAAGCTGATGATAAACAGGCTTTAAATGCAGAGCAATTACTTAGTGCTAACAAAGCACCGTGACTACACACTTTGTCCAAATGCAAAAAGCAAAGTCTTATCAGTGGTTCTGTTTGCAGGAGGACACTAAAAGATAACCTTTGTTTGTGCAAATACTTGCCTGATAAGATCATCCTAAAGGGAACGGATGAAATTTCTGGTTCTATCTTGCCTGAAGGTTATGCTTCAGATTACAAAGTATTGAACAAAAAAGAATAATAACCACTAACTGAGAATGCTCAATTCTCTTTTTTTTTAGTTTGACTGCAAGTCTCTGATGGTGGGTTTCTTTCCTGCTTGCATTGATTGCTTTTATTCCTAGCACGTAACAATAAAGCAATTTAGAGACCTTTAACCAACAGGACTTTGGATTTCATTGTTCGCAGGAACTGGCAAAGCTAGAGGGCTGGTTAGCATTGAACTTGGTTTGTTCACTGCAGGCTTAACCCTGACTGGTAGCCAGGGTTTACAGCACAGCAATCCTGTGACTCATGACTGTTCTGTTTTGCAGGGATGGTGAAACTGGTCTGGGAGTTTCCAAACTGTGAAAACTTAGGAGGTGCTTTTAGTGGGACGTGCACTCAATACCATTTGCCTCTCAGGGGTCACAGGTCACATTCTGAAGCAGCAGAGGTTTGAGTTTTTATTGTGATGAGTCTTAACATCTTGCGTTTGACCTCTGTCTAGCTCACTCCAGTTTTTTTCCTGTGTTAAGATTGGACTGAAAGGATGCTGTTTATTTAATGCTTTTAATTGACCAACTTTAAAAAAAGAAAATCTAGTTCGTTATAGCACATCAATCAAAAGATTTACCAAACTGACATCTTTTATTTTGCTTTCAAATAACTTATCAGAGATTTCCCATTTGGTGCTTGTAAAGGACCTTTATATCAGGGGGGGAAATAAAATGCAAGCACATGTTTGGGTCTTTTTGAATCAAGGCCTTATATTAACCCAAGCATGCTCAAAGCTCCATCTCATGCAGAAAGTAAATACCTATTTTTTAGTGAAATGTTTCCAAGTGTAGTCATCTTAGCCTGCTCTGTATCAGATTTTTAGATGTGAATGTGATTTTAGGTTGATTTGGATGCCATGTAGTACTTTGGACACTAATGGTGTTTGTGTGAGCCCCATCTTGCCTGCTGTACTCTGCTAGACTTTGCCTTGCTTTGGCCAATTTCAGTTGCAGAGGGATGGAGATGGCTAAGGCATTATGTTCCTACTAGTTACATGAGTGGAAGTGTCTGGGTTGTGAAGCTGGAGGCTCTGAATTAGTCCTGTGTGCCCCCTACGGAAAAATACTTCATATAAGCCATCACTTCATTAGGCTCAGAGAACCTGCAGACAAGCAAGCTGTTGGAAACCAACCGACACTTGTTTTCTTGCTCACTGGACTACTTAGTCTGTGTGGATTTCCTGCCCTGACTGATTTGCTGGCATTTTATGGTGAGGTTTTTTGAAATTGTGTTTCAGTTTGATATTCTGGTGCCCCTTATGCTCTTGTTCTCCACCCACTAGAGGCTGACAAAACTGGCAATAAATAGACATTTTTGTGTACACGAGTTATGTTCAGGTAGCTTTTGAGTTTCAATTTTTCTTTCCAAATTGGACTAATAGAAATTTTCTGGAGGAGATTTTAATTGCAGATGTGCAGCACCGCAGGATGTGTTTTTGAAACAGCTGCTCAGCTCACCACAGGTGTGGCGAGGGCAGGTCATTTATATTTTAAATGATCAGGGACTGAGCTGACTACTTTGAGGCAATTTCAGTGGTTTTCACACTCATGGAGCTGTGTGCTCTCCACCTGTGGTGATGTGGGCAGGTGTAGAGGGAGTGTTTTGCGCCTCCGCATGTGTTGGGAACCATACAGGAACTGCTCCAGTTGCTTCATAAGAAATTTTATAAATGCTGTTGTACATGTGAGCTCTGGCTGCTCCACTGTTTTTCTGTGGCCCACCACAACCAAAATTGTGATTTTTCGAGTCAATAATAGGACTGCAAAGCTGGAGCTGGACCAGCCTTACTTACTGAGGGTTTTTTAATGCCTCAGTTTCCATAGCAATGGAAATAAGCTCTCCTCTCACTTGAGTGCCGGGTATGTGCCTGTGTATTATGTGTCTTGCATAAGACTGGGAGGGCAGTGCCTACTTCTTTTCCTGGAAATAGATTTGGGAGGGGGGGGAAGTGATGGATGCTGGCTCTGCAGAGCTGCTGCTGCAAGCTGACATGTCTCAGGGAGGAGAACAGGTATAGGGAGAGGGTGATGGTCACCAGGGCCTGTGCTGGCTGAGACCCCCCTTGACAACACAAGTCCCTCGGTCATGAGTGTGCTTTTCATCTGTGCACTTTTTATTAGGAGTTAGAACTTGCAGGAAATAAAATTCAGTCCTTGAAGGCAGGGGAACGTGATGTTAGTCATCGATATTAGTCATTGACAGTTTCTGCCTTATGGGCTATTCAGGCTACTTCCTGAAAAAGGAAATCTTTCATTAGCTAATTATTTTCCTTAGCGGTGCTGTAAGGGCATCAGCAAATAATACAGTTCCTGGCAAAGCTACTGCACTGTTTAGTGTCTGCCTGTGTGATCAGGGGAGAATGATGGGGAAATTTTAATGAAAGAAATTCTAGCAGAGCTGAAAAATAGCAATAGCTTCAAAATGCTGTTCGGAGTTGACTCCTTACCAATCGATTTTAATAAATCTTCTATGTGCAAATGAGGAATCAGAATGTCATGTCATCTGATATCTGGATTTTGACTGTTTTCTAGTGGTCTTTGACATTGTGCCAAATGCATTATGAAGGTGTGATGCAGCAGAGCCCCTGAAACACATTCACCTCTAATAGGAGCGATGGTGTAGCCTACAGAACTAAAAGGGGAAAATGCAGTATCGCAGTGACACTGCAGCTGAGAATTAGGTGGGTAGAGGCACGACATGCTTGGTGAGTCAGAAGGAGCAAGGGGGCACAGTCCTGCTCCAGAAGGGTGCTGTAAGATTGGCAGTGCCCAGTTGTCAGGGCCTTGCTTGCAGGACTCGAAGCTTACCTTTTTTTCAAAAGTACAAAAAGAGTATGAGACTTTGTACTGCTCACCTTAGCAGCAGTGGAAAGTCCTAGTCTCTTCAAGACAGCTGTGAAAGCATCAGTTTAAGACAGTCGCTTAAGACATCTAATGGAGTAGAATAAACCTTTATTTCTTAGAGTCAGTGTTCTGTCAAAGATTGTGGTTGGTTCAGTTCTCCCTGTTGATCTGTGTTTTAGCTACTTGTGTTGTCTCAGCTTCTAAAATCTCTTGAGTTCCTGTCTGCTTTCTCATTAGTCTCATTATCATGATCATGTTAGTTCATATCGACATTTCAGTACCTTCAGTTTTTTGAACATGTCCAGTGGTCTTTCTGCTCACTGCCATTTCAGTTCTACCGTTACAAACCAATCTTTGTCAGAGCTTTGTTCGTGTGTGTAATAATACTGAGAATTTCATTTCTGTACTGCCTTAAAACCAAGTGATTGTAAACATGGGAACTGAGTTGACAATTTCTTCTCTAAGCAACATAAAGTGTAAAATAGTTGCATCTCTTGAGATATTTGGTTGCTTTTTTTGCAAGAGTGATGCGATTCTCCATTCCCCATGATGCCTTAGTGTGGTGTTATATTTGTTCTGTGTGGGTGGAAAATAAAGCTGGTTGGCTGCTTGTTTCTCTATGCGTGCACACAAAGATAGACACTCTAATTAGATGCACTTTTTCTTTTCCTGACATCTTTATGGCAGATACATAGGTTTTCATAAACTTTTCTTGCTAATATCCACTTACCTTTACAAGGTCCATTTTTCTCTGTAATGTTACTTTAACCCAGTTTTTTCATTTTACTGCAAGTCACTCTAATTAGGACATCTCTTCTCTGTTCAGGTTTCGGTAATTTAGCTTTACTGAGCAGGTCTGTCAGTGGATAATCAATGGTGCTGCCTGAAACCTTGGTTTATGTAAGGAAAATATGTCTTTCTCAAATAAGTCATTATAAAGTCTATACCGATCATCTTGATGTAGGAAGGACAGTATCTGCATGACATTTTCCCCATATAGTTATTTCAGTTACAAAACCATAAACCACATAAAAAATTAACTTTTACAGCTTTCTAGCAGACCAGGAATCTTGTACTAAAACCCATAAGAAATACTTTTAATGTGTAGTTTGAGTTATTTGTTTTTATTACTGGGTTAATTGTTTAAAGAAACACCTTCTATGCTCAGGGTGAGCTTTCAACAGTTGTAAATGTCACGGTACAGGCTTACCTGACAGCTGGTGCAGCATTCATTCGTATTGTGGAATTGTTGTACCCATGAGGAATGCTGTAAAAGTCGCTGTTGCTTACAGGGTGATACACTTCCAGTTTCTGACAAGCTCTCTCTCTAGCATCATTGGTCTGCGGTCTTTTAATGGGCAGAGGAAATCTTTGGGTTTCCCAGTCAAAAAGGTGTGACACACATCCATTTTTCTCTTTTCCAGGATCTTTCCCAGAGAGTATCTTCTCCAGCAAATCCATCTTTATTCTCTTGCAGACCTTCAGCAGGTAAGTTTCTTCAACTAATTCTACCTGTTACACATCAAGCTTGTTCTCATGTTCAGTGCTAATTGTGCATTCATTCCCCCTTCTAGCTGATCATAGCATAGCTTTGCTTCTAAGCCACCTCTGTCGTTTATAGTTTAATATAAAAATTAAAAACCAGGGGCATTGGTTAGGGACAAGGGAGAGAAAGTCTAGATCATTGGTATTGAAATGGGGTTGGAAAGAATCTGCAAAGGAAAACTGTAGTCTGCAAAGAGAACTTTGCTGTGAGAAATTTTTCATCTGATCAATGAAAGCTCATCTAAGACTCAGCCTACAGGTGACAAGTAGTGTTTATTTCTTTGCTTGAAAAAATAGTTATTCAGCAATTTATGAGTTTGTACAGACCCTAGTGCAACATGCTTATTTACAAAGTCTAATAGGCATTACCACAAGAAGGAAAAAAAAATTAAAAAAACCCAACACCACAAAAACCTGAGCAAGCCTGCTACACAAAGTTAAACCCTGCAGTGTTACTGTGACAGGCATGACCACAGAAGAGGTAACGTGCCAGCAAAATGTGTCTTTACATAGATATTGATTGAACTAAGCAAGTACCTTGCAGTACATCTGCCTGAACAGCAGAATTTTATTACGTACCAGATTAAACAAGAAGAATTTGACAAAAAGAGCTGAAAGGAGAGGATAGGGAACCTAAGGTAAATGTGCTGCAGCTCTCAGACGCAAAATGGAGGAAGCAATGAGGTAAGATGCACTAGCTGACCTGGGCACGTCTGTGTTCACACTCTAATGCCATTGCCAGTGATATGTAAAACACATTCTTTTAAGCTTCTTCCACTGATGTTTCCCTTGTCTAGTGGTGCCTTTTCTGCAGAATGATGGGTGGCATAGTCAGTTCTGGATGTTCAGTTGACATGTTTAAGCTGAGGTAGTTCAGATGCCCCTCAGAGCTGGAGACTACAGAACTGCAGGCAACACGGCTTTTGTTAGCTGGTGAAGTCCCAGGGTAGAAATGATTCCATATATAAAATAAAAGGGCCAGCCATCTGAGGTCTAAAACTGTTTTCACATCTTTTCAGCATGTTCTGCTATCTCATCTTTAATAATCAAGCCATGAAAAAGCAAGCTACTTAACTCCAGAGCTGCAGTCTCCCTGGTGGGCCTGTCTATTAGCCCCTAGTGCTTTGTAAGCTGCTTAATCAGTTCCTAACATTGGTAGTAGATGTTTTAGAAGCAATCAGCAGCTTATCAAGCACCCTGTGGGAGGGAGGGAGGGTAGAAGTCACAATTCATCCATTGATTTAGCAGTTCCCTTTAGCATGTTTCTTTGTGTTTGTGTTTGCAAGACACCTTCTCTTCCCCTGAGGGCCCCAGCCCCAAACTTATCATATTTAGAGGCAATATAATTCGATTACCATTTCTGCTGGGGTGGGTTAAATTGCATTTACCTTTTAATCTAGCTGTATCCTTGTTGTCAGCCTGGAGAGGGTTTTCCACATTTCAGAGGCTCCAGGTTTGAAATCAGATTGCCTGTTTTTGTCAAAGTAGAACCAGAGTGGAGGGCCCCATTGAGAAAATGAATCCAGCAGCCAGAGAAATACTAATGCCTTTACAATCCCTGCCTTCTCCCTGATTTGCCTCTTACCACTGCTTTCTCCCAGTTGCTCATCATTTTCTACCAACCTGCAGTTTGGGTGTTTTTTAATCCTAAAAGTTTCCTCTCATTTTGATTCCTCTACTGCCTATTTCCTCATATCCTTCGACTGCTTTTGCACTGTATCCTGCTGTCATGTAGATTGCGTATGTTTGGGGAATTAACTAAAAAGGTTTATTAAAGATTAATGGAAAGATAAGGCATGGTGAGTGAATTAGAAAAGCAGAGAGGGGTAATCTGCAGATATAAGCAACCTTTACCCTGGTTAGTCCCATCTCAATTCTGATATGTTTCCTAGCCAAGTTCTCTTTAAAGATCCTGGAAAACATGGGTTGTTTCCTACCAAGCAGCTGAGTTTCAAAATTGTGGTATGAGGGTCTGTTCTTAGGTGCAAAAAAGTTGAAATGCCTGTTTGCCATTAGATGAAACAGCATATAATGCCTTTCTAAAACGAAATCTAATTTAAATCTCTTTCTAAGCTTAACAGAGCTCCACGCCTAGATCTTATGGATGTGATAGAGTACATACTTGAGCTATCTGATGGTCTGAGGATGGTTGTCACTTGGATCCGTATGGACAGGGATCTACTGGGGAAGGCCTTAACTGTGAGGTTAAAAGTGGAGTGGAAAAAACTGAAAGAAAATGTCCTTAATTTTTGGAAGCTCACTAAATCCTAGGGAAGTAGTGGTGTTGCTAGTACCTTTTGCATTCACAAACGCTTGCAGTGCAGATGTGAGTAGTCTTGACCTTTAACCAAAGAGGCAGCAAGTAGTGGTCTTTATTTGTACGTGCGTGTATACTTAAAGTAAACGCAAATGCACACGTGTACCCCAGCCAGGTTTCACTGCGCCGGGGCCCCAGGGGCTACGCTGAAGTTTACAGCAAGTCTATCTATGGGCATTCCCATGGGGTACATATTCTTAGAATCTTCTTGTCATTGTTGTCGTTGGAGGTGTTAGCAGACAAGATAACTAATTACATGCAGATTTAACAAGCAGAAACACAAAGTGTGACAGCTTGCCTGTTCTGCCCCATCAGCTGCACTTGCTTTCCTTTTCAGCCCTCCCTGGCATCATCTGCCCAGAGTAATTTGCCCTGTGTCACACATAGCACCGCTGCAGCTCTGTGACCCTGTTTCTCCAGAGCTGTTCCAATCAATTAAAGCTTTAAAGAGGGAGACCTCCAGTTGCTGGGAAGCAAGTATTCACTCCTGGAATTGCTGGGTTTAGCAGACACAGTACTCTGGAAAAATGGATTACTCTTATGTGCAGTACAGTCTCTGATGGTACAGTCACAGTTCAGGATAACTTCACCCTAAACCTACTGGAGGTAGGAGGTTCCTACCGAGGAGAACCTACTGTTCTGTGCTGACATTACTAACGGAGGTATTGCTGGCTTTGTGGACATCTGAACACAGCTCATGCAAGCTGGAGTTAAAAACTGCCCATTCGTTTTGTGTGACTATGGGGCTGCTTTTGGTGAGACTAACAGTTTTTACGCTGTTCAACATTGATTTAGACAGAAGCTGACTCAGACAAGAAACTTAGATTTCTTAGGAAAAGTAATTCTTGCTACTTACACTAGATTCTATATTAACCGAAGCTTTTAAAGTAAAAGAATTGAAGGGGCTATTGTAACAAGTTCAAAATGCAGGTGCTTAATCCACACAGAGAGTTAACTAATGTCTTACCTGTTTTTTATGATAAATAGCAAGATATACAAGTGTACAGAGCTTATTGTAGTGATGATCTTTACTGTAGAAACCCTCTTAATCATGGCAATTATTTCATCCTGATTATACTATTCCCCAAAAGATATGGTAAAATAAAAAGGATCCGTGTAATGGCAAAAATGACTAGAGGTTAAGGATGGAAATTGTGAGACAGGAGGCTTGAAAAGACAATGATTTGAAGAGTTGTTTACACAGAAACACTCAGGGAAAAAAATTGAAGTGACAAAATATGGGAATTTAAAATGATGAGTTGAATTATATTGAATCACTGTGTAAATACTGTTATTCAAAATATAAGTGGCTTTCATTTGGTTTATCTCCATTTACTTTGGAAGCAAAGTGAGCTAAATTGTATTAAGGCCATTTTCATTCTGAATGTGTATGTCCATACAGGGATATAATGTAGCATAATTTATCCATTTTAGCATTGCAGATAAACTAATCCGTTAAAATTTAATTAAAACATCCATTTACTTCAGATCAACTTTCCTGACTATCTACCTGTAGACAAACCTATAAACAATGTGAAGAACAGTGGAGAGAAAGAATGAACAGGAGAGCCCTATTCTCACAATTGTACAGCACAGGTCATACAGTGAATATGACATATGCATAAAAATCCTTGATGGACGTACTTCTTTGCAGAACACACAGCAAGCATGAGGAACTTAATGCCACAGTTATATTACTGAAGCCAGAAGTTTATCATCTTTGAGAGGATTAAGTGTCCATAATGAGAATGTCCACAGTTACACTACGGAAGATAAAGAGATTATAAAGTTTCAGAATAGACATATTATTTACTGAGAGGATTAGGAAGATGTCTTCCCTATTGACAGACGGATCAATGATTTCATCTTCCTCTGACGTATGTAGTACTGATTACAGCTTCTGATAGGGTTTGGGCTAGGTGAACAGTTGGTCTAACAGAAGCATTTCCAATATGAAAATCTTCATGGTTCTGTTCAAGATTTTGTGCATATGAGGTTCCCTAACAGAAATGTGGGGAATAAATATGAAGTTCAAAGAAACGTAAGTTCCATCTAATTTGGGCCTAATATAATTTTAGATCAGGATTAGGAAGCTTTAGAAGAACAAAGAAGTTGTTATATCTTGTTTACTTTTCCAGGCTTTTAACCCATGCTGTATTTTCATCGTACCTTCTTTTCTAGCGTCAAATTTTGGTCCTCCCTGTGTTTTCCTAGGCTGAGATGGTGAGGAGATTGGGGATGCTCTTTCTAGCATTTTTGCACATGCAAAACTTCAGACGATTTGTTTCATGAGTCCTAACAATAGCAAAGACCACAAGGAGATGTGGACATTTTTGTGTTCTTGCTAGATTTTTCAGAAGTAAAACTTCTTTTCGGATCGCTCAGTCCTCAGACAATAACTGAGAAATGCTCAGTTTAGATTTATAACATACAGCCTGACAACTTCCAAGCCCATCAGTGGTGGTGTCCTTGCCCAGCAGTTCATTTTTATTCACACACAAAAAGTATGGGATGTGGTGTCTGACCCACGTGCCTGTGCTAATGAAAGCCAGTAGTGTGCATGTGGCTATGTTGATTGGCAGAAATGGGCTTCGGCTAACATACTTTGGGCTTGCTCTAGTTTTAG